AGTTTTATCTAAATTTAATGATAATTTATTAAGTTTAAACCAAGTTTGTATTTTATCAAATTCTGTCTTCATCAGTTCCAACATCCGTTTTACATCTTTACCCAAACAAAAAAATGTGGTGTCATCTGCAAAAAGGACACATTTGAGGAGTCCTGATACATTCACTAAGTCATTCACATATAAAATAAATAACTTTGGTCCAAGCACAGAGCCATGAGGAACTCCACACGTGATATTGCAGAGGTCAGATCTTACACCATTTATTTGTACAAACTGTTTCCTATCTTTTAAATAGCTAGATACCCAGTGTAATGCTGGTCCTCTTATACCATATTTATTTAATTTTTCAAGGAGAATAGTGTGGTCAATAGTATTGAATGCTTTTTTAAAATCAATAAAAATACTAACACAATACTGTTTTTGATCGACATCATAAAGTGCTGCTACAACTGTTTTGCTGAAGTGTTGACGTAATGTCGTAGCTCAAGAACTTTAAAGCCGGCACATCAACAACAGAATATGGATGTAGATCCAAAGCTTTACAAACTCCTACAGCTTGTGTTATTGCTTTGGACCGATCTGAATTACTTGATAACGTTTGTTTAAATGCTGCTGTTATCGGTCTCTGCACCAAGCTGCTATTCTGTAGGAGACGTTCACATTCGGATGATGTCGTTTCAAGTGCGTTAACAAGTTCGACGTGTTGCTGCTGCAGATCCGATCTTCGTGAAACGTCGACACAGCTTTGATTTGTTCACTTGTCTTTTAACAAGAAAGTCATAATGTTCCCAAACAGGAGACCACAACGAGATGCTAGGCTGCTAATGCTAACGCGCTTCAAGATAATAGCGCCGTGCTGAAACACGCTTAGGAACTTTAGTTCCGCGGCGCATAATCTCTCATTAATAAAATTTAATGAGTGTAAAAATAACCAAAACGGTACACACGTGGACCGAACCGAACATGCCATACTGAAACGGTTCAATACACCCGCGTGTACTGTTACACCCATAGTGCTCAAGGTTCCATTTACACCCAAAAATAGCAAAAATATAAAGTATAAAAAGAAACACAGTTTCCCCTACCATTATACAAGCGGGGCGCCCTGCCCCATTAACAAAACCGAGCGCCCCATCTACCGAACCCCACCCCTAACTACCTGTCTGCACTGACATAACGCTAACTAGTCAGGAACTAGTCTTGCAACAACAATACCAAAGATGAATAATTATGGGAACTATTTAATTGATGATTATCTGGACAGTATGTTCCTGAAGGGAACTGATAAAGATGAAATAATGAATGTAGTCAATAAATTTGTAAACAAAAACTCTAAGGATTGGATGGATATGGACATGACATTAGTAAAGAACATAATGGGTCATGTAATTGAACCATTTACACATATATGTAATTTGTCCTTTACAATGGGAGTATTTCCAGACAGAATGAAGGTGGCTAAGGTATTTCCTCTTTTT